GTGTATAACCACAGAGTCTAATACAGTCTTACTCACATTTAGTAGAGCTTAAGCCAGCTCTAGTGTGAATAGCGTACAGCGGTATAATCCCTGCTTGTAGGATACGTGTAGAGGGTTAAGTCTTTCGCCAATGTGTAGATCATAAGGGAGAAGAGAGACAACTAATAGTGCTCACTGTAGAAAATCTTATATAAGGAGTATAAATAATAAGATGTACTCACATTGAATTGAGCAGGCGGACTGCTCAATGATTTAGGCGTGAGTGGTATAATCCCCACCTCGGATGTCTTTGGAGTAATATTCAGCAGGAAAGATAAAATCAGGATACCAAGCAAAAATAAAAATAATAAATGAAAGACTAAAATGGCACAATCAAAGTGATTTAAAAGTAGCAAAAATACCTTTATTTGCAATACAGAGTAAAATTTATCAAATATCCACAACGCATTTCACCTATAATGGCTTTTTCAAGTGGAGACAAAAAACATGCTTGGTAGGGTAGTGTTTATATAGGGGGACTGATTATAGACAGTAAATGAGGTTTGGTGCCTAAATGACGTCATCAGGTAAGGTGCATTTTCAAAATATAAAATAAACTATATAATTCGAATTCTCTTACAAAGATTGTATAGAGAGATAGAGGGAAAAAAACTTAACACAGGAAAGCTCTAAAACTGGATAAACATAGGAATCCACCAAAAACCTATTAGAACAAAATAAATAAGATATATTGCACAAGAGGTGTAGCAATAGAAATCCAGGAGCTAATAAATATTAAGAGATTAATATTGCAGGATACCAGATGTTATAGAATATATGTAAAAAATATGAAGACTATAAATGTGTATATATATATACACAAACTATGTATGTGTGGCAAAATTACCTTATGACCCAGGTAACAGGATCCTGGAAAAGGGTAATATATGCCAAATAATATACTTTCACTCACTCTATCTGATGAAAGCTAAAAAAGGTTTAAAATATAAACTGTCATCTTCCATAATATAATAGAAAAGTATCTATAATTGGGCAAAGAGCCAGTACATAGAGTTGGCTGCCCTAAGCAATGAATAGAATGTATCGCCAAAATTGATTAAAAGGTAACAAAAATGTATTTGAAACATAAAAATATATAAAAAATAAGTTCACACACAGAGCAATAGATGTTGGGAAGGTAAAGTATGCACAGAAACCTTAAGCGCCGGCACGGATGGATTTGGATTATGATCTTGATACAGTAGCTGACATCTGGTGACCGGTGAGGTCGGTCTGCGTTCCACAATGCGTACCACCTCGAGCCTCACTTCGGGGGAGCTGCACTGCTAATCAGATGTTGCGATTCAAACGCCAGTGTTCCAAGCAAATCGCCGGGCTGCTGCGCTGATACCTCCTTTCTCTCGTCGTCGTGTGAACAATCTGTAGACTCAGACTTGTCTGACGCGTTTCGTAGGGAATAGCCCTACTTCCTCAGAGACATCTGCATTCACTACCCTGTGGGGGTGTTTATATATCGCTCTCTCTGTCCCCAATTGGTTCATTGAAGGATGAATACATTATGATACATTCAATACATTGCTTTAACTATAATACACACGTTGCACAAATAAAGTTTACAATATTTACATACACATATAAATAAATGTTTTCTACAATAAACATATGAAAACACATGAAAACTGAATTCATAACAGTAATTGAAAATCATGTTACATACATAGATTAAAGTTCATATTCTGCATGTAAAGCATGTACAATAAACAAAACGAACTAGACTGGTGGTGATATATATTTTTCTTTCACAGTATTTTTATGAAAGTTTGACATCAACTTGAGTTCCAATCAACTTATAATTGTTATTTTAAACAACTTAAAACTCAATGAATATATTCTCATTCCCTGCATAGATCATTGTAGTGATAAGATCGCATATAACATTGGGTGGTCTGCATAAGCTATTATAACCTAATAGCACAACAAAACGATGTAACAGTATATACATTCTAGATTTTGATACACATCCTATCGTTCAATAAATACTTTGCTTTTTATGAAGTTGCTTCTTTTGTGTAGTTGATGTTTTCTGTAACGAAATGTAGATCTTGTTAATCATTAAATCAAAAACAAATCTCACACAAGGTGCTCCTTTGGTATATATGCATAATAACTGGATCTAAACTAAAATATAAATATAACTATAATATAAAATATGAAGACAGAGATTCTAAATAAAAGGGGGAAGTTAGACATAGATAAAAAATAAAAATTACTATAAAAATTAATATAAAAATAAATATAAAAATAATAATAATAATAAAAATAATAATAAAAATAAAAATAAATATAAAAATAAAAATAAAATTGAAAGTTAAATTAAAATTAAATATAAATAAATTAAAAATTAATAATTATTAAAAATTAAATATTAAAAATTAAAATGCTAATAAATTAAGGAAAAAGATAAAAAAAATAGTGGTCCAAAGAGTTAGAAATTGAACGTTAAAAATAGATATAAAAATAAAAAATTAGAAATTAAAAAATGGGAAAAAATAGTGATAACATAGGGAATGGTGTCTCAAAATAAAAATATGTTTATATATGTATAACATACAGGGCCATAAGAAATCCTATAAAAATGCATTTAATTCAAAATCTATGTTAAGACCATGAGGGACTAGAGTATTGAGGGAAAATATCCATTTGGTTTCAGCTTGGTCTAAGTTGACATCTATGCTCCCTCCTCTCCAATGTACGTCCACCTTCTCTATTGCCATAAAAGTTAGTCCTGTTGGATCTGCACCATGTGTTTCTTTGAAGTGTTTTGATAAATTATGAGTTAGCAGGCCTTTCTTAATATTTCTAATATGTTCTGCAATTCTGGTTTTTAGGAGTCTTTTCATCCGTCCCACATATTGTTTTTTACATGGACATGTAATAAGATATATTACGCCCAGAGTGTCACAATTCATATTCGTCATAATTTTGTACTCTTTCGAGTCATGGAATGATTTGAATCCATTACTTGTTATGTCTGCCTTAGGGTTATTCCTACATCCAATGCATTTCTGACATCTTGAAAAACCATTTCTATTACCTTGTTCCCTCTTAGTGTTCTCGGATTTCATGGTTGGGGCCAGCATCAATTTTAAATTAGGGGCTCTTGTAAAAATGATCTTAGGTTGTTCCTCAATAAACTGTGATATGGTAGGGTCACTTCTAAATATTTCCCAATGTTTCTTGAGTATTCTCTGAATTTTCTGTGATTGGTTACTATATTTGGTAATGAAAGCTGGAGTGTTGGTATATGTTTTTTCTTCCTTGGTTTTATTGCACAGGGTTTCTTCCCTTGGTATAACTAAAGTCTTCTCCACAGCTTCTCCAAAAGATCTTCAGGATACCCTTTCACAATAAACCTTTCCTTCATTTCTTCTATCTGTTCTTTGCATATTTCCAATTTTGAACAATTGCGTCTTACTCTTCTGAATTGGTTCTGTGGGATATTTTTCAACCATACTGGTCTGTGGTGGCTGTTGTAGGGAATGAAGCTGTCACAGTCTACATTCTTTTTGAAGGTTTTGGTATGTAATTTGTCTTCTTCTATATAGATGTTCAAATCTAGGAACTCGATATATTCTCTAGATTGGGCGAAGGTGAAGTTGAGATGGTATGGATTGTTATTCAGATAGATTTTTAAATTCCTCTAGAGATTCTAGATCACCTTTCCATATGAAGAAACAGTCGTCAATATATCTCCGCCATAGAAACAGTTTTGCGCCAAATGGGCAGTGGTCCCATATGAACTCATCCTCCCACTTGCCCATAAAAAGATTGGCATAGTTTGGCGCAAAACGTGTCCCCATGGCGGTGCCTTCTGTTTGGAGGTAAAAATTACCTTCTACCCAAAAATAATTATGTGTTAGGGTAAAAGCTATGCATGCTACCAGGAAATCAATTTGGTTGTTCTTCAGCTCTGAATACGTTGCCAGAGAATATTGAATGGCTTCACAGCCTTGCAGATGTTCAATGACGGTATATAATGACGTGACATCAGCAGTCACTAAAATCATATCTGGTTCCCACTTCAGATTTGAAAGCAGGTTGAGGATCCCTTAAATAGGATTTTAAGCAGACAACAATGTTTTGTAAAAATTGATCAACATATTCTGATAGATTTGCTGTAAGGGATCCGATACCAGAAATAATGGGCCTTCCAGGTGGTTTTTTTTGTTTTTTGTGTATCTTGGGTAGATGGTAAAATACCGGAATTCTTGGGAAGCTCACCCCTATATATTTAAATTCTCTCTCATTGAGGATTCCTCTTTCTTTACCGTAATTCAATATTTCTCTTAATTTATCCATATATTTGGAAGTTGGATCCTTTTCTAGTCGTTGATATGTGGCACTGTCTCCTAGAATTCTAAGATTTTCTTCTATGTAATCCTTAGTGTTGAGGATGATTTCCTTTGTCTGCTGGTTTGATGGTTATGTCTTCAAGTTTCATGAGTTCTTTTAAGCATCTTCTTTCTTTCTTACTCAGATTGTCTTTTTTCATTTTATCAGTTAGTTTAATCCTAAAATCTTTTTCAACCATTTTTTCAAATGTCCTTATGTAGTCATTTTTCACATATTGGGGGTAGAATGTCGATTTGGGATGTAGTTCAGTCTGTGCATATAGTTGCTCCTTCTCTTGTGGTATAGCTTCTTTGTCAATAAATAATTTCTTAACACATACCTTCCTTATGAATTTATGTAAATCAATGAACGCATTGAAATTTGAGTTTTTTTGAAGTGGGTGCAAATTTGAGACCTTTCTTTAGGAGTTTGTGTTCAGAACCCTGGTTGATAAATTAGAAACATTTATTTCCTCCTTTTTTGTACTATCTGATCTTCTATTTCTTCTTTTCCCTCCTCTATGTCTTTTAGTGTCCTTTTTCTTCGTATCTCTGGTGACTTGAAGTCTTCTATCGAAAATTTCCTGGGGGGTATTCTCCCCCTTTTCTCTAAAAATACATTGGATGGGAGGTCCTCAGTACGTACTTTGATACAGATATACCATCTTGTAGTCGATTTCTCATTTGTTCTGGAGATCTGTTGGTATGACTTGTCCTAGTGGGGGTTGGACGTTGTTGTTTTGGATCTCTTGGTTTTTCCAAAGTGTGTATTCTCCTGTTGTGTGGTGTTTGAGTATATTGATGCCTTTCTCTATTCTGGTGGCTTCTATACATAGCGTTCCTCTGTAAATTATGTTGTTGGTATCTGTCATTTCTATTATCATTCCTTCTTGTATATCCATATCCATTATATGGATAGTTGCGTGAATATGTTCTTATAGGCGGGTGGTGAGAGATAAGTGCATCTCTATATGTCATATAGTGCTGTTGAGATCTTGATTCTGGTCTGTTTCTTTCTTGCCCTGGAGATTGATAATGTGGTCTGATCTCTTCTTTCCAATTCCTCTGTGATTGAGTTTTGTAGTCCATCTGATCTCTCAGGATTTTCTTCCTTTTTGTTTCCCTAATGGTCTCTTCCAGATCTTTTATTCTCTTTTCCATTCTATCCAAGAGTCCCACATAATCTCCACTCTCCACTAGAGGTCGAATACGGTTCTTCAATTCGGAAATTTCTTTATCCAATTTCTCTAAATCTTTTTTCTTCTCGTTGATCAAAAATACCATCAATAGTAAAGAGCCTTTATCAAGAAGTTGGTCCCACTTTTTCAAAGTGGTGGGATCGTGGCGTTTGTATGACAATCTTTTAAAGAGTTGCAAACCTCTTGGAATAATATTGTTATTGACATAGAAATCCAATGTTGCTATGTCCCACCATACGTGTACCTCTTTTTCCATAGTTTTGCTTAGTGAATATATGAGATTTTACATCATTTAGTGGTTTTTGTGCTTTGCGGGTTAAAGTGTCGTTTAGTCGATCATCCCCTTGAGAAGACCAAGTATCTAAAAAATGTTTTCTGTCTATTCTGACTGAATCAATATTTCTACTAAGTGTCATGGTCTAATTCTGGAACCTCTGTTGGTGAAATTAGTAAAAATGTAATTCGAATTCTCTTACAAAGATTGTATAGAGAGATAGGGTAGTGAATGCAGATGTCTGTGAGGAAGTAGGGCTATTCCCTATGAAACGCGTCAGACAAGTCTGAGTCTACAGATTGTTCACACAACGACGAGAGAAAGGAGGTATCAGCGCAGCAGCCCGGCGATTTGCTTGGAACACTGGCGTTTGAATCGCAACATGTGATTAGCAGTGCAGCTCCCCCGAAGTGAGGCTCGAGGTGGAACGCATTGTGGAACGCAGACCGACCTCACCGGTCACCAGATGTCAGCTACTGTATCAAGATCACAATCCAAATCCATGCGTGCCGGCGCTTAAGGTTTCTATGCATACTTTACCTTCCCAACATCTATTGCTCTGTGTGTGAACTTATTTTTAATATATTTTTATGTTTCAAATAAATTTTTGTTACCTTTTAATCAATTTTGGCGATACATTCTATTCATTGCTTAGGGCAGCCAGCTCTATGTACTGGCTCTTTGCCCAATTATAGATACTTTTCTATTATATTGTGGAAGATGACAGTTTATATTTTAAACCTTTTTTAGCTTTCATCAGATAGAGTGAGTGAAAGTATATTATTTGGCATATATTACCCTTTTCCAGGATCCTGTTACCTGGGTCATAAGGTAATTTTGCCACACATACATAGTTTGTGTATATATATATACACATTTATAGTCTTCATATTTTTTACATATATTCTATAACATCTGGTATCCTGCAATATTAATCTCTTAATATTTATTAGCTCCTGGATTTCTATTGCTACACCTCTTGTGCAATATATCTTATTTATAAAATAAACTATGTATATATGTATACATTGGTGGTCTGGGCAGCTTCCCCTGAAATTTGGAGTAAAAACGAGGGTTAGAAATAGGGTAAAAGTTGTATTTTTTATTTAATCCATGATAAAAATCCCAAATACTTAAAATGTATAGGGATACAAAGGTGTAAACTCCCATGGAGAGGTGACAATATTAAAAAGATTTTAGGTCAGAAAGAAATGTACTAGGTTTTCCTTTTAAAAACACTCAACCCAGAAGGGTTAAATGCTGACTTTGACCTTTATAACTTTTTATAGCTCTCCATAAATTTTTATTAGCTTGTATTACTTTTCAAATAATAATAATGTATTCAAGCCTTTATTTATATAATAATAATAATAATAATAATTTATTCTAAGCTATTATGCCAAATAACTAATTATCCTTTTTAAAGAATATGTAAATAGTGCACTTAAAATAACCTGTCACTCCTGCATTTTCTGTACATATGTATTTTAAGTTATTTCCCCTTTTATATCAGGGTTATCTAATCTGTATGTACTTAATGAATTTATTAATGCAATGTATATATAAGTATGCACACTTGCTCAAAGTTCCTTCATTTCCCCTCTCCCCCCTTCCGCCATCTCATTATTTATTTATTTTTTTAATTCCTGTTCTATTTTGTACATTGAGGAATCACAAGTACAGTCTTTGAACTGGTTTTAATAATCTTTGGGCATAGTCCACACCCACACACTTTTTCCCCCTCCTTCCCCTACAGCATCATTAGCTGTATATACCCCCTGGACATTGGCATTATAACCACACCCCGGCCGATCGACATGCCCATCCTATCTTTTCCAGTTCACTCCCTCCCACCAGTATGCTACTAGTAGCAGTCCCTCCTGTACACTACATGTCCCAATACCCCTAGCGGCACGTCACGTGATCGGTCCGTTTTCCAAAATAGAAGCCGATCACGTGACCAACTAAAATACAACTTTTACCCTATTTATAACCTTTGTTTTTACTCCAAACTTCAGTGGAAGCTGCCCAGACCACCAATGTATACATATATATAGTTTATTTTATATTTTGAAAATGCACCTTACCTGATGACGTCATTTAGGCACAAAACCTCATTTACTGTCTATAATCAGTCCCCCTATATAAACCGTACCCTACCAAACATGTTTTTTGTCTCCACTTGAAAAAGCCATTATAGGTGAAATGCGTTGTGGATATTTTATAAATTTTACTCTGTATTGCAAATAAAGGTATTTTGGCTACTTTTAAATCACTTTGATTGTGCCATTTTACTCTTTTATTTATTATTTTTATTTTTGCTTGGTATCCTGATTTTATCTTTCCTGCTGAGTATTACTCCAAAGGCATCCAAGGTGGGGATTATACCACTCACGCCTAAATCATTGAGCAGTCCGCCTGCTCAATTCTATGTGACTACATTTTATTATTTATACTCCTTATATAAGATTTTATACAGCGAGCACTATTAGTTGTCTCTCTTTTACCTTATGATCTACACATCGGCGAAAGACTTAACCCTCTACACGTATCCTACAAGCGGGGATTATACCGCTGTACGCTATTCAAACTAGAGCTTGCTTAAGCTCTACTAAGCATGAGTAAGACTGTATTAGACTCTGTTGTTATACACACCATCTTTACCAGATGTACTGCCCTATCATCTGTCTTTCTCTTCCACATACGGAGTAAAAGACCAATATTTCTCTACGTATCCTATAAGCGGGGATTGTACCGCTGTATGCCATCCACACTAGAGCTAGTTCAGCTCTATTACACATGAGTAGAATTACCATAGATCTCTTCTTCCTGCATATCAACCCTCTCATCAGACGTATTTACACCATTATTTGTTTCTTTCTTTACGTATGGATCCTGAAAAGCCATCTTCACGTGACCCTTAGAGATAATACCCCTCCACATAGGCCGTCGGTGCCCCACCAGGCCCTACTAAAGACTTTGTTTTGGCACCACCTACATTTTGGATTTTGTTCATTCTCTAGCTGCACTTTCGTAAGCTTTGGCGCAACCTTCTTCTGTTTTGACTTGTATATTATTTATGTGACTGTGTTATATTTGGTATATTTTCTGTATTATTGTTGTGGCATTAATGCTAAGGTTTTTTGGAATGCATCTTGGGATACCTGTTATTTTGTAACCAATTAATAAAGTGTTTTGATCTTTATGGTTGTGCAACTCATTCAGTATTATTTATGAATAATAAATAAAACACAACAATGAACGATAGTTGTAAGTCTGTGGTAATGTTTATTAGAGTTTAAATGCAAATAACTCCATTAACTCAACATATTAAACCAAAACTCATTAGTCAGTCAGCTAAATAACAGACTGCCTTAGCAAGAAAAATTCACCATACAAGTCTATTCTCCCTTTCAAAGGACAATAACCTTAGTATAGAGTCAAAACAAATGGAATCAAATCTTTGATATGGCTGCCCAAACCATGGCCTTCTCAGCCATTGTTTGCAACACAATGTTGAATATATTGCAACCGATGACTGAAAGGTGGGAATTGTCGTCATCAAATAAACATTCATCAACCCCCTCTAATTCCACATGTTTATAGCTAAAGCGGTTAAATAAAAACATAGTTCTGAAAATTGTCAACATTGATTTTCTTCTTATTTTGATCTAACACACACAAATTACATTTGCAAAGCTAAATGAGACAAGGTGTAACTTCTGACCAAACATGTTCCTAGATACATGTTTTGAATGGAAAGAAAAAGTTTAATTTATAAGCAACGACTTCAAATAACCAGTGTAATTTCCCTCCATGTTTAAAATAATAATGTTTGGGGAGGCAAGCTGTAGAGAACATTTATTGCTAATGTTAATGACATTTGACAATTTTAGGACACTAACGCCCCTCCAGTAAATTATGCATGACTCTATATCCAAGTTTAAATCCCAAAAAACTTTCTTCATCCCTCTTTTGGGCTATTTGTATAAATGAATGTTCCACACCACTTTTGATGAATCTGTAAATTAAAAAGATTAATTAAAGCAATTGGGGGTGAACATAAATCGTATAACAAACAGATTTCCATCTTCCAATTCTCTTAACTAGTTCTCCTGTTAAATCTAAACTGGACTTATTAGTAACAGCCCCAATCCAAAAAGTGTGTGAAGAGATAGGTAAATGTGACAAGTTTGGCTTATTCAAGCACAGCTTCAAACATGTAGAAACTGGTCAGAGGTAAACCTGATTAATGCATTAAGAAAAGGCCATTCAACTTAAGCCTTAATAACATATATTCCTGAACCAACTTAGGCCTTAATAACATATTTTCCCAAACCAAGGTTACTGGCCAAGCAACCTTGTCCTCAAAAGAAACATTTTAGACCCATCGACCTCTTCCTTCGGGATCAATTTTTGACTTACTAATTTAACAGATCAATGTATCAGCTTGAAGATAAACATCACCCAATTTCAAACCTGAGTGCCTAAATTTACAATACGATAATAGCTCACTTGCACACAGAGCCACAAAAAAGACTAATATGAAAGCCGCCTTAGATAAAACCAATTCATATTCCGAAAAACAAACAACTGTCAATACATTCAACAATTCATGTAACAATTCTTGTAACAGCTTGAAACAGATTGGTCTCCTTTTATTCTTAAAGCCTTGTCTGTAGCTGTTTAACAACTATTTAATAATAAAATCCTAAACTATCAGAACTTGTTTTTAATGTTTAAAAAAATATGTAATACCTGTTAACTTCTAAACCATAAACTAACACTGTTATGCAAACCTTTACTCATTA